CAGAACAAGTAGGAGCTTTCTACGCTTCGATCGGAGGCTGCGAGGCCAATCAACTGCTAAGTCAACAACCAACGACTCGTAAGCCAAGAATACGTGCTTTCTTTTCTGGTTTTGAACCCAACAAACTTTTCGAAGCGAAGTCATAAGTAGTCATAGAGTTTTGGAGAGGAAAGATGCAATTGACGACTACAAGGAGAGCAAAGTGAGTCTCGACGTCAAGGAGAGGATCGATTACATTGAGGCTCGACTGAAAGGAACAAACTTTTCGAAGCGAAGTCATAGAAGAGAGGAGCAGGGATCGATTTCTACTCGGAGATAGCCAGGTCAATAGTCAGAGCCTATTTGATCACGGACCCCATCGCCAAGGAAAGGAAGAACTGAACGGAAAGCAGGGGAAGGGAGCACCATAGTATAAGGGCGTAGGCTAATTCATTGTCTAGGTAGCTTTTCTTGAAAGACTAAGATTTTTGTAAATACAATCAGTCCATCGAACCCTATGACTGAACTTCGCTCTCGTATACTTGATTCATTCGTTAGATAGGCAAGTTCGCTTCAGTCAGTAAGCTCGGGTTGTTAACCATTCCTACTGTGAAAAACAAAAGCTCGTAGCCAGTGTAGCTAACCATTTAAACTGTGCAAAGAAAAGCTTCGTAGCAGCTAATTCCCTCACTTCGGTTCGTTAACCCAGCTCGTGCAGTCCTGTTCTCGATCTCTTCGCTTCGCTTCGTTCGTTGGGTAAGAAAGATCTTCTTTCTTCTGTACTTGGAAACGAGCTAACAAACGTTAGCGAGCATATAAGAGGGCATGAAATAGCTCTACCGGGAAATTCAATCTGGGTTTTGTCTCGACAGGATTATGAAAGCGAGCTTTAACTCGTTACTGAATCAGAGGTAGGATGTGCCATTCATGAAACCAAAACTACGAGACGAAATCCCTAACCTCGTTATTGTAGGGGTTAGGGCCAGGACCTTCCTATTTTGTTTCGGGCGGGGGGAAGAACGGGAGAGGGACGAAGTGATTCGACTGAAAGGAGAGATTTGGATGCATTTTTTCAACTTGATTGAAATTCCTACCATGCCCTTGTGTGAGAAGCCTGTGATAGGACCGCTCTAAAGCCCTTCTTCTTCGTCTATACCCTTTCGAAAGGTCTTCGGGAAGAGAGTGGTTATAAGAAAGATAGCCTTGGTCTTTGTACGCCTTGGTTTAGATTCGATACCAACTCGAACTCTCCTTGAAGCTTAGCTTCATCGAGAATGTATTCGGGGTAGGGTTTTGAGATGTGTGGACCCACGCCCGTAAGACAGCCAATCAATCCCTTTAGTTTAGCTTTAAGTCAAGAGCAGTGGTAGGGAAAGAAGCTGGTATAGTCGAAGTGGGAAACGAAACCTTTTGCCATAATTCCTAATAAAGACTCTTTGACTTCACTTCGCTTCTAAAAGTTCGTTGGGTTAGGAGAATCCCGTGTACCGTGCCTCTCAGTAGTCTAAGGAACTCACTAGGTAAAAGGTACTCGCTTGCGGACTTGTTGCACTTCAACGAGATGGACCAATTGAATATGAATAAGAGCGACATCCCTCCATAGCTCAGTCTTGTCTATCAACGAGAGCTGTCACGCTAGCGCTTGATCTCTTTCTGAGCGCTGTGCTCTATCTCCTTCCCTACAGCACCCTTGCTTGAGGGAAACTTTTATAGAATTCTCTATGTCCTTTGAAGCTTGGAAGCAGTCCTTCTGGCGCGTTTTGTCATGTGATTTTAAGAAAGGCCGCGTAATCCTGGAAAGATTATCAAACCATCAGAACTTGGTTTCTAAACCCAGCTAGGCTCGATGTAATTGACCTTAGACTGTAAAGCTCTAAGCCTTACGGAAACTGAGCTTTTCAACCTAAGTCAAAAACAGGAAGAGAAGGAGAAAAGAGAACCAGAGATGGCATTTCGCTTATACCTTAGTTGAAGGATCGATTACATTGAGGCTCGACTATAAAGGTACAAACGAAGCGAAGTGAAGGAAAAAAGAGATGTAGTAGGGAGCACGAGTGCAGCTAAAGAATAAGAAGGCAAAGAAAGCACCATTCAGACTTGAAGTTCGGTTCTCAGTCAGTATCATAGAAGTTAGAAGTTAGAATACTTGCTTTCTCTTCCTTGACTTCATTGACTTTAGAGGACATGGTCTTGGTCTGGTTCGAATCCAGTCTCCTCTTCTTTAATGTGCACCTCGTGCTTTGTATGGTATGGAAACTTCAAAGTGTGGTAATCCGCTTTGAAGGCCATTACCATACAATCATTGCTTAGGTGAGCCTAACCTTGAGTTAGGATAAACCCAGTGAGTAAGTAAAGCAGACGTAGGGCTCGATATAATTGACCTGGGTAGTTGCCTTGTGTTCTTGTTCTTTTGACTTGCCTGGTGATGTGGACAAATAGGAAGGGAATGACGCTCATAAAGAATACAGTGACTGAAGCACGTAGTATAACATACTTTAACGTTGGATAAACCAACGCAATTGGTAGAAAGTCTTGCCTCTCATGAGGCAAGCGGAGATGCCACAAGATAACAACAAAACTGAATAGTATGCGCCAAACTAATTTGATACATAATCCTAATGCGTATGATATCATGAAAGAAGTCAAATTTCTCTCGTATGAGAAGATTTGGACGAACATGAATCTGAAAATACGCATCAGAAGACGAATACAGAAGGAAATACTAGAAAATGGCTATTCTATAACACATTGGTATCTACAGATGTTGATGTTACCAAACGCCATAGGGGGGTTGGTCAATACGCAACACATACGAATACTACAAGGAATCTTATACAGGTTCGAGCCTAGAAACCTAGTACGCTTTCTTCAACAGGAAGAACTAAACCGTAGGTTAAATATGAATGAATGTTTGCACACTTTGATTCCATCTCCCCGAAACTGACCCCTTTTCGGAGGGGAGCCTGGAAATCAAGACTTTTCAGTCTGTTATCGATATATGCCTGAGACATCTCAAATACAGGTAGCAAGAGATATACTCATTCCCAATAATCTCAAAAACTTGATATCTTTAAGGGGGCTAAAAAAGATAAAGAATGAAAGTCTTATGCAAACTTCTATAACGAGAAAGAGACAGGAATGGAACAATATCAACATCGTGAAAAATTTAATGAATCGTATTTTGCTCGAAGCATGCTCCTATAGAGCAGGGATTTTAGGCAGATTCGTGGTAGTATTTCAAATAGGTGTTGGGTGCGTACTATTCTACAATTTCACTCCCGTGGGGGTACAAGAGATGGTAAATTATTACTTTCTATCACCTATTGAAGAATATACCCCCTTATTTATCAATCCCGATGATCAAATGATAAAAGGAATGAATAAAATGACCTTATTCCTTGACGAAAGTAGACCAACGCATAGAGACTTTGATCTAATGTTTAAATCATTCATGAATGAAGAACCTTTAATGGAACTACCCATTCCACCAAGTGCACCAAATGATCAACCTGAAATATTAGTAGGAAAAGTTGATTATTTGCTCACGGGGATACACTTTAGTATTGTAGTCGCTTGCTTTATGATTATTGGGATTGATCCTCATGTGGAAGAAGTATTAGACGTTGTCCAAGCATAGAAAATAAGTATATATCATTTTGGTTCGGGTCCTTGACGGAAGACTGGGAAGCTGACTTCAGGACTGGCAGGCTTGCTTTCTGTCTTTTTATTTCAGCTTTCAATGCCCGGAATAGGAACTGAGATGATTCGATAGTGTGAACGAGTAAGGGATCATCCATTCTATGCCGCGAGGAGGCTATGCTTAATAGCATTCGACGCCGGTGATCAATCAGGCAGGATAGAATTTTCCCTTTCCGACCGGTCTTTGAGTAGAATACCCCTTCTTCTCAACTTTGTCGACCCAACGAACAAAGCGAAGCGAAGTGAAGTCATAGACAAAAGAAGGAGAGGAAAGATTACATTGAGGCTGTTGGAAAGGAGTCGTCAAGCCAAGAGCGTGAGACAGGCCGAGCAGTGGTATACGGTTGCCAGAGCGGATCAATCAGCAATAGATGATAGGATTGGAGGGGAGGGTGCACGAAATAGCTCGACTGAAAGGAGAGGAAAGGTTCAATTGACGAAGTTCAGTCATAAAGGCAGGTAGGGCGTCCGGCCACAACGGATCAAGAATGGGTTAGAAGCACGATGGTTGAGGGATACTAATTGGGCTGCTATCTGCTGCGTAAATGGATAGAAAGGCATCCTAAGCAGGGCTGGCGGGAAAGTTGCATCTTGCTCAGGATCATTTATGAAGCTTATGCCGGGAAGCGCAGTTGAATGTGAGATCTATCCCCGGTTGGCCTGATCAAAGTAATCGGGGATGTAGTAGCCCAAGCACCTACTGGGAGCAGCCCCGTCTTCGCTCAGTGATGGAATCCTTGAATCCAGTACATTCTGGGTCTCGGGTTAGAATTCTCTGCTCTCTTCTGGCTGGAAGGGTTTGGGTGCCCTTTCAACGCTGGCAATCGAGATTGGCGTATTGACTTATCATGAGTGAGTTTGTGGTGAAGTCTTTTCTGAATGAATAAAGAAAGGAGAAGGATTTCTACCATTCATTTGCTGTGTCCCCTATCGTTCCTCATCCTTCCTCATGAAGGAACCGACTATTCAAACTTCCACGGATCGATCGAACGAAATCGGCACCCAATCCCGATAGGCGGAGAAGGAGAGCGAAGTGAGTCTCAAAGAACGAAGCGAAGCGAAGTGAAGTCATAGAAGTTTTCCTTGGGAATTGAGTGGAAGTTTGAGTTTTCTTCTAGCTAGTAGGGAGTACCCCTAATCCAATTTGAGTTGCTTTTGATGTCGGTGCAAGAGGTGAGTTCCCTGCTTTATAGAGTGCCATTCTTTCCCGGTCTGGTTCTGGGCGCTTTCTTTCTTTTCTTTAGCATTGTACCCTTGAATTAGAGTCTTGGTGTGGATTTCCTTGGCGGATTACTTCCCCCTTTCCTGCTTGCTGTCAGCAGGTAAAGGACAAAGGGAAGGGGACGAAGGGAATCCTACTACGGCACTAAGACTACTAAGACTAATGAAGTCTATTTGGCCACTATTCCTACTGCTACTACTAGAGCTACTGCAGTAAGGAAGGAATTCGCTTTCAACCTTGTTGCGGGGGGTTGAAATTGAAACCACTACTTCTCCTTCTCTCCCTCTTTCCTGTCCTAGAAATCCGGTAAAGTAAAGAAGTCAAGTCACAAGCAGTGAGACATCTCCGTAGATGATTTATGAAGAAGTTGTAGCACTTTCTTGAAAGCCGAGCGGAGACTCGCTTTCTTCTTTGTACCGAAATTCATCATAGGGATTGTTGGCATTATTCGCTGATGATTCTTCCTTTTTCTTCGAGGCGAGGCATATTCATATGTCGAAGAGGCCAGGAAGGGGATCCAATGACGTGAAACCAGGGGCGGGCGGTGAAAGTACAAGCCACTTTCTAAGTTGTGGGAGTTTCCCGTTGACGTTGAGTTGAGGCAAGCTTAGCCACCAGTCCCCTTCCTTATACATAGGAAGCTCTTGGGGAGTTGACCACTCCGAAGGAGAAGTTCGAATTTCTTTAAGAAAGAAAGAGGCTCAGAGCCATCGAAGGGACCGATCTTGATGGGCTTATGTATGCAGCTTCACTCTGTTTTCTTCCTGATGTCGTGATTCCCCACAAGTTCAAGGTCCCAGAGTTGGAAAAGGATGATGGTACGACTTGTCCGAATAGCGACCTGGTCATGTACTGTAGGAAGATGGCAGCCTGCACACAGGATGATAAATGACTCATCTACTTCTTGAAAGACAGCCTCACAGGCGTTGCGCCCAAATGGTAGATGGAGCTGGACCGCTCTCATGTCCGAAAATGGAAGCATCTTGCTGACCTCAAAGCAGTACAAGTACAATCTTGATACGGCCCATGATGGCATGGGGCTTCAAAGCATGGAGAAGAAGAGCACGGAGACTTTCAAAGAAGATGCCCGGATAGAAATGCCTGCCCAAGTCCTGCCTCCCTTGACTGAAAAAGAGATGGTGGCCACCTTTCTCACTACTCTTCCCCCTCCTTTCTACGATCGCATGGTTGGCAATCTTTCCACACATTTTGCTGCCCTTGTGATGATCGGAGAGAAGATTGAGCAAGGTGTGAAGAGCGGTCAAATTGCTGATAGCTCGACAGAAGCCTCCAAGAAGTCCACTCTTGGGAATAAGAGAGAAGGAGAGGTGAAGTAGGTCAATCACGATAGACAGGCTAGAAGAAGGCCTCGACCCATTTCAAGCAGTAAGCCTCAATCAATCCAACCAAGCCAAAGAGCACCAGTATATCAGACTCAGCCATAGCACCCATATCCAGTTCCTTTCCCATATGTAGCCAAGACAGATAATCTGTGTCGAATATCAAATCCTAGGGACAGAGACCTTAAAGCTCTAAGGCTATCATAGTAATGCCAGCATGGTTATCATCTAACTACTGGGCAAGCTTCTAAGATTTCAACTGTCCTACAGTTCTTCCATTCCGATCGGAGTTTAGGCTGTAGTGAAAGATTCTCTCTTGCTCCCTCCGCTGGAAAGAAGGAGACCCATTTCAATGGGAAATTAAGTTGAGTTATGGCCTTACTAAAGGTGCTTCCACAAGCGCATACACAGTCCCTTTTTCTACATCAGCAACTATTGAGCTTGGGCCAAGCAAAAAGAGAGGGTACAACAATAAAGTTAAGTAGTAAAGCGGGTAAAAAGAAGCGCGTCGCATCTTAGCCCTTGCTTCCGGCAACTCCATGAAAGATCACCGATGAAAAAAAGGCCCACTCGTAGATCGGGTTGGTTATATTTATATAAGGACTCTTTTGCATATTTTGAATGTTGATAGGCAGTAGGGTAAGGAAAGGATCATCAATCTATGAGAATTTCCGAGTTGAAAAATCCCTCCTTAGTCCAGAGAGAGTAAGGAGGAGAAGGAAATACAACCTTACTTGAATCCTTACTGGACTACTTCATATGCCTTCCGCACACAGAACAGAGGCCACACACGAGCCAACTCCCCTAAAAGGCCTTTCTTTCAAGTCTGTTTGAAGGAAGAATTTCTTTTCCGCACTTAGAAAGACTCTTTATTGCTTCTAGCCTTTAGGGAAATCGCCCCGCCCAACAGGGATCATTATCTTCCAGACTAAACTGTATTTAGGATCGAAGATCTATTCGTAGATCGCACTTTTAAGCGCCTTATTAGTAAGACAGTTTATTACAGGTCAACGATCAATCACCTTGACTTATGCAATACGCAATACTTATATATATATATATAAAGTTTCCTTTCGCTAGGAGAGAGCTTGTCCTCTTCAAGGCTTTCTTTCATGCAATTGGCGACGCCATCGTCTATATCTTTCTTGTTAAGATCTTAAGCTTCCTGGACGTCTACAAATCTGTTAGGCAGGAAATGTTTACATTGGGGAAGAGTTCATGCTATCATGTCGCTAAAAAGTAGGCTTTTTCCTAATAGGCTTTTTGCCTCTACCTTTGAAAGTAGTGTTAAAAAGCCTTACTTCATTGGTTCGATCATTTCGTATAAATAGCATTGGGCGTTTAGCACCAGCCTTCTCTTCATTCCCACCCTGAAGCAGTTATTCGGACTAAGATCGTCATCGTACCCTCAAGGCAAGCTCCTGAAGTAGAAGTGTGAGGGTCGATGTAATTGAGGCTGAAAAACTACGAAAATCCTTTTTGAGGGTGGAATAAGGCACGCAGAAGACTTCGGAGTCTTAGATAAAAAAAAAAGAAATCCAATGCTTGTCTTGGGCAATCCTATAGCTCCGATCCTCGGGATCGGCTTAGACTGGCTAGCCTTCTATCTGCAAATCTGCTAACCGACCGACGGATACCACTAACTGACTAAGCTAGAGAACAGGAGACCAAAGGTCTTCCTGCTTAATCGAGCTTCTTTTAAAACGGGTAAAATAAGGCTCGATATAATTGACCTTCCACTGTCACTTTTCTCATTCTTTTCCCTAAAAAAAATTCATAAGCTAAAGAAGGAAATAACTTACAATGTTACATTGAAGGGAACTTTAAACTATTCTCAACGAAAAAGCCTTTCAACTAGTCGGTCTAACCTTCCTAACTTGGCACACATATGACATCAAGCCATCAACCAAGTCAGCCAACTACCCAGCATTAGGTCCCCCAGTCGATGAGGGTAAGGAGGAAGCGGTACGGCTCAACAGGTAGGTCGGTAGTTAAGCTATGCAACGACTATACTATACGGACATTCTTGCTTCCCAACTGGTAGACGGTTCCTTATGTAAGGGCTATAATGAGATAGATAAATCACGCGGACTCAGGCTAGCAAAGAAAAGAAAAATGAAGACAAGCAAAATAAGAGAGTGTACACAACCACTACCTTATTCAACGAGTCTTTTCCTTCACTTCGCTTCGAAAAGTTTGTACCCTGAGGCTCATTCATAGGCACTTTCCATTAGCTAGACTGAACACACCTTTCTTTTTCATTCTCAAAAGCAGGATCCATGTAATTGAGGTTTGAAAACGGGTTCCAAGCCTTGACTAGCCATAGTATACTTTTAAGTATTCTATTACAAGTATTATATTAGACGGTCGTGAAGCCTCCAGCCGGGGCCTTTAAATTCAATAGTATTATAATAGAGGTAGCACATTCATGGAGTCCAGGGAAAACAAGAAGACCATTCAAATAGAGAGAATGACTTTTTATACCATGTTGCACAGAAGGAATAGACATCGCTTCGCCCCCTTAACAACTCTGGAAGAGCCCCACTGCAGGAAGCAGTTTTCTGGTAACGGCTATTGTCCTATCTTCGTTGAACGGTGAGTCAAAGACAGATAATTCGTAGTTCCTTTCTTACTGGATTGACTTATACGTGCGTCAATCCCCCTCTAAACTAAAGCATTTCGCTCCGCAAGCCAGCACTTCGAGTGTAGCTCCCAACCGTACTTTCCTTAGAATCCGAAGCTCGCAATCCCAAGGAGGGTGTAGCTCCGAACTCGACCAGTCTTCAAAACCCTAGCTCGCAAGCACGGTGTAGCTAAGCTTCGTAGCAGGATTTATAACCTACTGTGCAAAGCAAATCCTATCTCGCAAGCTCGTTCGCTGTAGTTCGCGCAGGTCTTTCTGGAGGTATGGATCCATGAGTGGTCGCATCCCTTATTTCCATCTTATCGGGGAAAAGAGAGGGAGTTGCCTTTTCGATGTGTCACTCCACCACCCCGTATTTATGGGAGCTTGGGAGCGGTGGTCCCGGTTTCTTTCACCAGGTGATCCAGTATCGATTTTTCGTGGCTTGTCCGACTCTTGGTGTCCGGCTTCTTGTAGCCCTGTGTGACTTCCTAATCTTGATGACGCGCATCGTTTTCACGCCCACCCATTCAATGGGTACAACTCGGCACTCCAAAGCTACATCAAACTATGGGGGGTCTCCCACATAGGTATCGGTCTAAGAATCAGAGGATTAGGGGTGCGAAAAAGGCTATACCATAGGCGAGCTTCTAACGCATCTTTGACGGGTGCCCTTAGTGTTTATACCTCAGAAAAAAGGAGGGCCTAAAACCCGACTTTCCTTTGTTTTGATCTACCCTCGGATCCAATAAAAGGAGCAAACAAGGTATCACGTATATTGGTAGTCGAGATCACCTGGGGTATCGGAAGTGAAATATCAAGCCATATCTAAAACACAGGCTACGAGACGGCGGCTACTGTCTATGCGTATGCGGAAGGAACATAACTAATAAGGCTGGTTTCGGGTCGGGACAGCACCGAATCCAAAAAACAGAGGAATTGGCATAGTGGGCGTGGTTGCCCATATGAACCCTGGAGGGATCCCCATTGATCCTTTAGTCAAATACCAACTGCTTCCTCTTGGACGACACCAGCTGGGGAAAGCAAATAGTGGCTATAGACCACCCCTATCGGCAAAGTACTGACCCCGCTAGACGCTAGGCTTGGGTTCGGCTGCCTCATCAGGAACGGGTTTGAGAGGGATACCCCCCTCTTACGCACGCCCTGTTTGGGGACAGAAACGACTGGGAACTACCTAGCACGGTATACTTCGAAGAACCATGGCTCCATACCCCTAATGAACTGGAGCTTCGAAGAAAGACTTTTTAGCGCTTTAGATCGAACTAAAGATCGAACGGATAGAACAAACAAGAACGCAAATACGGAATACGGAATAAGGAACGGGAAGAAAGGAAGGCACAGAAGCAGAAAAGAATCTGGATTGTAGATGTTTGACTCCATGAGACCATTTCCGGCTTCTAGTAGAAGAGGAGGCGGGGGTGACATCAGAAGTAGGATCGTCGAACGGATAGCCGCCACATTGGTCCGCCCTAAAGTAAAGAAGGATTGATTCCCCTAGGGGCTCTTACCACCATTCCCTCAAGGAATCCCAAGTAGCAAACCCAAAGCATTCTAGCAAAAAGTTCTTGGAACAAGCTCCCAAGTCTTATTTGCAATATGATTATCTTGACTGACTACACTCTCTTTCTCCTTGAGAAAGATGGCCAGATTTTTCGCCAAATGTGGATATCTCTTTTCGTCTCATTGACATCAGAGATTGCATTCAATCGAATGGTTTCAAGACAGACAGACAGGGCCCTTTGTTTTTTTTGTCACTCAATTCCCAAGGGAAAGTTTTCTTCTAAAAATGGACAAAACAAAAAGAGGAGGGTCTCGTGGATCAATCGGAGCCGTAGTTCAGGCTTTGTTAGCCATGCCTTTGAAAGCAAGGCCTGGGCTGCCCAAAAAACAATCTTTAACCTAGCCTAGGGCTTTTTTACTGGTCGTGCTAGGTTGAGCCGGGGTTGGGTACAAAAGATGGGATCGAATCCGAAAGAGAATCCACCATGCGCGGGTTCAATCCCCGTCGTTCGCCCATCAATAAATGGACCATTTGTTAACAAATAGTGACGCCACATCTCCACACAGAATGCCCGATTGAGTTCGCCAGGGACATCCTCATTCTAACTTCCTGGGATCAAGACAGAGATCATTGAATTGCTGGAGTAGTTTTCTTCGCCCCTTTTGCTTCTCGGCCGTTTCGCATTTTCAAAGAGAGGCAAGGCCGGCCCAAGCCCAAGGCTTTGGCACCCAGAAAAAGAGCAATTGATGGGCAAATAAACATTTTTTTGAAGTTGGAGATTGATCAATGATCCGCGAGTTCTTCCACATCTCGGCTGGCTAAAATCCGAGGTCAATGTAATCGATCCTACTGGCTCGCGATCGGACTGGCTACACCGTTCACCCACCCGGCCCTAGACCTTTTCGTTTCCGACGCATGGTCAGATTGCCATACCGGAAGGATTTGCTAAAGAAGGACAGAACCAAGCGTGACTTCACTTCGCTTCGCTTCGTTCTGTTAGTCTCACTTTGATCTCCTTAGATCATCTACCTCCTAACCACAGAACCTTATTCTTACGTGAAGGTATGTCATGCCCCGCACTAACTCATATCTTCGGACATTGGTGCACTTGAAAAGTACTCCTATCCGCTTGTATAGAGTCTTGCCTCCGTCTCCCTTCCGATCCAAGGTTTATTGCTATGGAAGGAAGTTAAGGTTTAGACTTGTCCCTTTGTCTTTGCTGGCTTCTTGTTCCTTCTTTCTCCAAACTTTAGAAATTGTGAGCTGGAAAGTGAGTCTGAAGCGAGTTGGTATGGAATCAGGACGAGAGATAGAGAACGGGAAAGAAGTGGGTGCATTGATTGTAATTGTCAAAATACAAAAGAAGGCTTAGTCAGTTAATTCGCTTTATTTTATGACTTCACTTCGCTTCTAAAGATTACATTGACCTTCCTTTAGCGTTTGTGCGCGTTTTAGCTTATAAAGACATCAAAGAAGCGGGAGGTTCGGAAAGCCAATAACTCAATCTTCTCCTCAAGACAAGCACTTGCATACAGAAAGACCCGGGACCTTCATGCGACAACCAGAGAATCCACCATAACACCTAAAAAAGAACCCTATTCAAAGATCGTGTACCTAGTCGAGCAGAGGCTCGATATAATTGACCTCACGGGACAAGAACAAGGTTTAGACTTGTCCCTGACGGAACGGAATGAAAGACTAAGCCAAACCGCCCCGCATAGGAATCGGAAACCATATAAAATCCATAGACGAGCCCAACCGGAGCAATATCGCGTGAGTGAAGAAAGATTAGGTCAATTGCATCTTTAGAAGCGCAGTGAAGTCAAAAAGGAGGGAAAGAGGGCGTCCATAGATAGATTCGCCGGGCAGTCAGCCTTGTATTTGCGATGGAAGAGACGAGAGGAAATCTCAGTAGACGCTTCTTTAGTAGGCAGGCTTGCTGCCACTTCATTCATATGTATGGCTCGATGTAATTGACCTCGTCGTCGACAACTTCTGGCACGGAATCAGATGTGAGTCTTCCATGTATTTTCGGACTCACTTCGCTCGCTTCACTCGACGGTCGTGGCCGGAAGGGGGGTGAGAAGGTGGAGATTGGTTGAGAAGAATGATGCTACCGCACTCCTGCCGGCCCACCTAAACCACACCACTTCTAGGGAAAACTGCCATCCCCTCTTTGAAGGTTCGGGTTAGCACTCAGATTGAGCAGCGCACCAACTCTGCTTTTATCTCGGATATCAGATCAATTCGCTGTCTCATTCGGGGAGGGTTCTTTGCTCTGAATTCAATTGTATTTTCTGCCTGAGAACGCATCTTGAACTAGTGCCTTACCCTAGAAAGTGAAAGTTATACGCGAAGGTTCGATTACATTGACCTCTATCCCTTTGAAGACATAGGTTGGCCTATATGTAGATCTGGAACACACTATCTCCTTCCTTCTAGGAGTGTTCAATTGTAGCCTTTACTATTATAGGGCTATCGGGAATAGACCGGTTCGACCGTTCCTTAGGACTAGCGCTGACTGGTTCATTTCTTTTTATGACTGAACTTCGCTTCGAAAAGTTCGTTGGGTTTCAAAAGGCAAGAGACGACATATTAACGCTACTTCGCAGCTACGCAGCTCACCGACAACCATGCTCGAGTAGAGCTAATAGTTCCTGCTAACCCCTTGCTGGCACTGACTCAAGTTAGACTTTTGCGCTCTCTCAAAAGGCCTGCACGCCTGCGAGTCTTCTTCCCGGTCCTACAAAACGAAAGATCCCCTCTCCTCTGCCCAATCACTCAACACCCCCCACTTTCCTTAGCGACCTACTCTTTTCTTTCTTCGATGCTGCCAATCATCCTACTCTACTCTTCGCTCTTGCTTATTGAGCTTCCTAAAGGGGTGCTTGCAGGAGCAGCTCAACGAGATGCGGCTTCAATTCCCGCTATGCCTCATCCTAGTAGGTCTCTGTGCCATTGGGACAGATAAACTTTCTCTGATCTAGTGTGCGTCCGCTCCTGTTCGGGCTCACTCAGCAGAAAGCTAACTCTCTTCTCCTGCTTTAGCTTGAGCCCACTTTGTATGTTATTATGAATAATGAGTGGACATCTCCGGGAAATCACCCCGTGGGCAAATTTGCATTTCTTAGGAATCACATCGGCGGATAGACAATTGGATGTTGTCGTGACGGTTACGGATATGAACGGTAAGAGTCGTTGATGTAATGAATCTATGCCGCATCTGATTCGATTTTAGAATCAATAGAATATATGATAATGATTGAGTCATGTGTGACTCGTACATGAGATCGGTCCACGTGGTCCATGCCGGTGATCCATAATTCAATTCCGACCTTACTGAATTGACTCTAGTGCAATTCTAGTTATCATGTTAAATAAAGGTCATAGCATAGGTATGATCATATACCGATTCTATTTCCTATCATGTTGAAGTTACCTTCGTTTCTAAGTGACTCAATTACATCGACCCTCGGCTCAGCTCACCCCAGACTCTTCGGCGCCTAGCTCGCCTTCCAGCCCAGACAAGCCCGATTGAGCTGATCGATACATCATCCCAACGCTACAAAGGTCTCGTAGAATCCCCTTTCTTTCCGCAGAAGCTTCTTTTCTTTCTCTGTTCCTTCGGTTAACTAACCCTCTGTCCCATCACTCTACTCCCCCAAAGCATTTCAATGGAGAAAAGAGGATGAGACAATTGGCTTCAGATGGTTCGTTTAGGTTGCTGACGAATAGTAAAGAATGTTGGCGACGGGTACAATGGAGAAGGAGCGTTTGAGTCGAATTAGGGCGACTAAAAGAAAAGGAGCCTTGAGTCGAAACCGGAAATTCAGTCTGGATCTGACAAGACCTCTCGACTTTCCCCTTCTTAGCTACGCGGTTACTAGGTCAATTACATCGAGCCTTCGAATTCGTCGCAGTGCTTTCTCCGTCCGAACTCGATTTGTTCTTAGTAGGTGATCCCGGTATTGATCCTGATGTTTGCGACAACACTGGCAAAGAAAGTTTATGAATAGGGAGAGTAGGAAGAGGCAGAAGCCAAAATAACCAACCATCGCTCCAGCGAAGAAAACTACAGGTCGATTGTAAGATGGAAAAAGATGAGTTTGGAGAAGACGATTGGATCAGTGCTTTAGCGGTCTCGTCTTTCCCTCAATTACATCGACCCTCGGCTAGTTACTAATGTTGAATGTAGTCAAAAGTCAGTCTCCGAACCGATTCTGCAATGTTCAAATATTTGATCCCGTAAAGAAAGCCCGCCTCGTAGAATCTTTTCTGGGGTGCCCCCAATTCCATCCATCTCTTTGAAAGGGCCCCACCTAGGTAACAGATCGTTATACCATAGCCGAGTCCAAGGTACTTGACAAGTAGTCATTCGTATTGCACCATCTCGGTTTAGGCCGAAGAGAAGAGTCCCCTTGTCTATAGGGATGTACTATTAAATAAACCTAAATTGGGGTCGATAAGAACTACGGTAGAGCAGTTTATGAAGGAAGGTTTTGTTTTCGCGCCCTACTAGCCCTGCGCCTCAGGGTTCTAAGTTTTTTACCAGGTTAGGGTCGATGTAATTGAGCTGTCCATCTTTCGGTCCAAACTTCCTTCTCTTCTGGTTAGTCCAATAAATAGGCAATCGGATCGGCTGGTGGAGTAAAGGTTTTGAATTCAGCCGTCTTCTACAACAGGCCTTATGTGGGGTCAAGTCCTTGATTCCATGACCCGCCTTAAAAAAAATAGAATTATAGAAGAGGCCAGGCCGTCTATACAAAGAATGTCCGTAGGATGTCCTTTATAAATGTCTGAATGCATATAGTGCCACTGGAGTGGAAACCAAACGACGGGGCCGAGAATCCGTGATCGGACTTAGACTTTCCAACCTCTCGTCGTAGCAGTAGTGCTAAGGAGAGGCAAAGTCGAACTAGCAATAGAGTAGCGAGTAGACTCATTGCTCACCCGCCACCGGAACATAAGCTTCTGTAGGCATAATCGTAACCTGCCCTTCCCCCATTTAGTAGTTAAAGCTGGACTCAGATACTGATTAACAAGGCAACTCTATTTCAGCTACTTCCTCAAAATGTAGCTACAGCGCCAGGCAACCGTAAACATCTGCAACGGCTTATGCGAAAGAACGCTTGCGAAGAGAGCCTACTTCGTCCCCTCCATCCGATAGAACTACCTTTAGGTATTATGCTTGGGATATGGCTGTAACATATACGAGGCTCGATATAATTGACCGGGTCTTTTCCCTTGTTAGCTTTACGCCGTTGATTAGCCTGGAGCTTCGACTAAGACTTAGTAGGGATGGAAGCTTGTACCTAGATCTCTGATAGCACGGGATCCTATGGCATTTAGTAATTCTCCTCTATTTAGAACAAAAATCTAGGTTGAGGTAGGATTGGCAAGAGTTTCATTCCTAAAGGGGTAACCCTTATAATGTGTAGGGGGATGTCTACTTCAACAAGCCTCGATTAGCGTCAGAGTCTGGTCTCAGATTAGGTACCGCGTGGTATCCTAGTGAGCGGATAAGAGCTAATCCGCGTTGGTAATAAGTTTCGAATTTCATTCTGGCTGAAGGTAAAGTAGCATTGGAGTTACTAAAGTGCTGTAGTCAGGTAATCGTACTACACTGCCAACAAATAGCCTGATATTGATAGATAGAGTGAATGTTATACTCCCGAATCGATAACTCGAGAAAGACACTAAAAAATTCCTTCTCAAGTGCGAGAACTTCTATTAGGCTTAAAGGCACAAAAGAGAGGATCGATTACATTGAGAGCAAGAGAGGCCGTTAAGGCTACCAGAGGTTTGCAAGATCGGGGTTGCCTTGCCTTTTGGAAATGGTGACTCTTCCACAGGTAGAGATGAGGATCGATTACATTGAGTTGAGGAAGCGAAGCGAAGTGAAGTCATAGAAGTTTTGGTTGGTGTGCAAAGACAGATTGTACAAGGGTGTTTGGGTTTGGGTGCATATATGTTGCGTATGGTGCGCTTGTTGTCTCTGGCTAATCCTCAGTCAGTGGGTCACAGCTGGGCAGGGCTCTAAAGCTTGGTGGAAGGGCGGGCAAGATGGACCAACCGCTGAACCGCAGATCATGTCGGCAGCACTCGGGCAAGCAGGGAAGTCAGAGACCAATAGGTCTTGAATACTTCCATGTCCTTATGGGATTTCCTCCAATATGAACTGGTATAGGAGGTGGGACCGACCTATTCAATGATAGGTATAGGGTTCCTTTCTTCGAAATATCATATAAAATATTCCGGTCTCCAAATGATTGAGCAAGATCTCCACAGCCTGGGTATTCTCAACCAACGCACTAGCCTAGGTGTGGTCCAGACCTATCTTCATTTTATGCCCAAGAACCAATCGAAACGAAAGTTGAGGTTGTTCTGACCCAACGAACGAAGCGAAGCGCAGTGAAGTCAGAAGTATTGGCGAAGTGAAGTCATAGAAGCTCATTCTCTGGAAAAATTGCATCTCTTGCTTGCGGAAGCATCATGGTGGTGGTCGACTAGGAGAAGATTGGACGTTACCTATACTTCCATCTTCCTCACCTGGTAATCCAGGTTGGATTCTGGGTAAACTGATGGTGGGTATCAATAGATCTCTTTTCCACCTAGGTTAAAAAGGGGGTATGCCGCTATATATGCTACACCGAAGTATGCTCCTAGGTAAGCTACTGGCTCTGTATCTATCTCTGTCTGCTGGTGCTTATTTTGATAAGCTGCAGGATCAACGACTGGATCAGCTGGAACTACAAAAGGCGAGCGAAGTGAGAAACGGAAATGGATACTTAGCAAGGTGCTGGATCAACCGGCGATACTTCCTATGCCGAGAGCACCAATAGTGCGCTATGAGAACAGGTCCTAGTTAATGCCCACCGACGGTGAGCCAGGAGTAGGAATAGACAATAGGGGGGGTTCATTTGCTTTTATCCTGTGACGATAAGAGATTTGAAGGTCGATAAGGATCGCAAAGTAATTGACTACGAGAGCACACGAAAGCTCTTTTTCCTAAAACTAAGCTCCCGCTAAAGCAAGTAGATCCGAAAGGACAATGATTCAAGGATTTCCGGAATTCGGAATCCGATCTGATCCCGAATCGTAGAATAGGAAGGATCATGGGTAATTAGGAGCAAGTGTAGGCTCGAAAGCCGTAACGCGCTAGCGCGCTTGTAGTTTTCTCGCTCGGTTCCAGGCTCTATTCTTTATTTATTGGTCTATCCAAGACAAGTAGGGGTTTCCATAGTATCATCCCTATCTGCTTCATGGAACTTGGGCGCAGCTATTTCTGAGGTCCGATGACACTAATATACGAAATTCCTCTATGACTTCACTTTGCTTCGCCAATACTTCTGACTTCACTGCGCTTCGCTTCGTTCGTTGGATCGACTTAACGGAGCCTAACTCTTGAATCAATGAGACATTGTTGTCCCGGGGCTTGCAATTCCTTTTCCTTTCGTATCGCCGTGAACTAATATTAAACATCTTACGCCGCGTAGCGGTTCAGAGGATTATTCCTCTTCGCCTATCATCCTCATTGCACAGCAAGGGAACAAAAGCCCAATCAGTGGGCAGCATCATATGGAAGAACTACTATGCTATGACCCGAAGAAACTATGCAATATTGAGACATGCCCTCCTCTTCTTCAGTTGCTTTTCGTGAGTGTAAGCCAAAACTATTCGATAGGAGCCGTTAGCGACAACCATACCTCTTCGTTTTCAAAGAGGCTATCCGGGCATAGCGACTGTGGAATCGACCCACTGACTTTTCCCCATCGTCCCCTTACGGCATCTTATGAGCCTATCGGTGAAACCTTACTTGCCTGAAAGCTTAGTATTCTTCCGATCTGTCAGTAAATGCTTAACACATGCAAGTAGATTCTATGCATCCGGACGATGAATAACGATTTGCTTGAAAGCGGCCCATTCTATCAATATACGAAAGATTCCACCCAAATCTTGACTGAACTTCTAAAGATGTAATTGACCTCACTAATATACTGAGATACCAAAGTCTGAGGAGAGACATGAGGAGGAACCACGGTAAGGCTGTCAACCAGCGGCTCATCGAGCCACCGGCCATACCGGAAAAGAAGTTTATTCTCCGTCACCAATTCTGACTTTAAGGCCCGCTGCCAATGACTTGCAAGGCGAAACCAGCCCTCGCCACGAGAAGGACCATCGAGCGTTATAGTTTCCAACAGCCAAGGCATATCGTACAAAATACGACCTAACCTTATACTTTGCCGTAAGAGCTCAACTTCGTCGAGCCTCATGCTTACCTGACCTACGTTACCTGAGCTAGCTTCTTTGGGAATGAACCGAACCCATAAGCTACTGGCAAATCCACGACTAAGCGTTGACCCGGCTGTCTCTTCGCTGGGGCAGGGAACCAGCTACAACCATCCCATAGAACAAAAAGGAGGACTGCTAACTCTGCTTCACCATCGACCACGACCAAACAAACTTTTCGAAGCGAAGTGAAGTCAGAAGTAGTAATTTAGAAGAACAAGACTCGGAGAAATAAAGAGATAGCCCTTTTCTTCCTTCTGAACCTTTCAGTCGAGTGACTTCGTTCCTCCCCCGTCGGATGCTGGCACAGAAGCTAAGGGCACGATTGCCCTACGGAGGAATGCCCTAGTTTCGTTTAGTTTTCACTGGCAAATGGATGTGGGATGGAGCTCTTTGACAGGAAATCCCACGCCATCGCGTATTCCTCCAACTCCAACAATGGATTCTTCTTGCTTTGGCTCGTCCCGAACTCAAACTAGCACGAGAAAAAGGAAAGCGACAACTCTGTCTCTTACCCTTGAAGTCACTTCGTGAGCGACTAACTCACCGTATTCCATTTAACCCCTCGCCTGAGGGCTCGGACGGAACGGACAAGACAAACGAGGAAGACAGCTAACAACTCTCGGGCTAGAAGAAGGAACACTATTCCCGATCATCGGTAGGGCAGTGGTTCACCCAGCTTTTAGGGCGGATTCAATATCCATAGCTGTGGATTCGGAACAAATATTCGGAAAGGATTCAAGTTTCATGAGGTTAACGATTTTAGGGGCTTTCATTTCTTCCAATACAAGTAGATAGCAGGTGTCTTCGTTTTGGCTCCCTTCGCAAGCAAGAAAAGGGCTAGGCATCGGCTACAATTTCATTGCCTTCCTTCTGGGGATGGGAGCTGACGGAATACCATCTTCAAGACCGGAAAAGAGGATGAGCCCCCTACGGCAATAAAGGCTTCCTTTTGTTGTGGTTCCTCCCTTTTTTTCCCACGGTTGTCCTTCTTGTTCGCCCTCTTCCTGCTCTCGTTCATGAGGATTTGCCCGTCTTCAAAGGCAAAGATCGCTCTTAGAAGGATTTCTCGTTACTCATTGGAGAACTTTAGAATAGCACAATTCGTTCTGCTTGGGACATGTCTGCTATGTCTCCAGCTTTCTACGGTCGTCGTAAGTTGAGAATTGAAATGACAGGACTTTCTGATTAGGTTGAATGCCATCTGCTTTTAGGGGAATTCACCAGACTGGTAAAAGCCAGCTGGACTTTGAGATATAGTCTATTACCCGCGGGTAGAACTACATGGGCTTGATTCTCCTTTCTTCTGTTCCGGAGTGGTTCACATCCCTGGTGAAATTTCAGACTTCCCCACAATCTTCAAATTAACCAAGTTGAATCATTTCTTGGTTATTAGGGGGGAAAGAAAATTTGACTTAGCCTCTTTAGCAAGAGCCGAGACGAAGCCTATGAATATGAGCAGCTCCTATGAAAGAAGTATACCAGAGCTGCTCATATGAGGTGATCACTCTTGCTTGCCCTTCTTCACTCACGCGATATTGCTAGCCACACCAACCCTTTCGCCCATTGTCCAAGATTCCCCACTGCTGCCCCCCGCGGGAGTCCGGGCCGTGTCTCAGTCCCAGTGTGGCTGATCGTCCGAAAAGACCAGCTAAGCGAAAGAGGGTAAAGTAAAGAAAATCCTCCCAACGAAGAATAAATATGGTGGCTGAGATGGAGGCGGGACTTCGTTGGTTCGATCGAATAGCCTCACGGAGAAAATCCCAGATGAACTGAAATCCTAAATCGCCAAAGACCCAAAGGAGTGGGCCCTTGAAGAAAGCGATGGAATGGTTGTCAAAGAATGAAGTGAAGACAATGTCAAATGTCAGTGGTAATCATACCTATAATATGGGGAAGCTTTGGTAGCAATCCAAGCAAGTCAAATTCGTCCTTTAGGATCGATGGATTCCTTAAGCCCAGTTTCGATTAATGGATTCCTTTTCTTGGCTGGAACCGAAAAAGACCTGGTTTGGTTCCACACATTCCTTACGCAACTTTCTATTCCGTTAGTGCCCAGGACGTGGGTGGGAGATCCGGCCGACAGATGCCTGTTCTGCTAAATCACCCTGTTCTGGTCATCCCTAACCAAGTCGGTGATCTCTGGCGGCGTGGAAGAAGTCCTGTCTGTGAACTTTCTAATTAAAACAAAGATCTACCCTAGGAAGTGAAGATTACAGGCAATGATTAACCCAGGATGCGGATCTTGGACTATTCTTCCTTCAATTTCTTGATACCAAAGAAAGGATTTGAAATGCGCCGTTTCCAGGCCTTCGCCTCCTATCCTCAAACTCAAACATAGGCATACAAATTCAAAGAAGGTTCAACCAGTGACGAGTCAAATCATAGGAGATCTGTCTTCCCGTTGGAGTCAGAAGATTTTCTATGGAATCCCACAGTTGAGGGTCACTCAGTATCGATGGATATGGATACCTCGAATGATTAGTGTGTTCACCGGTGTTGGTCGAACTTGGGGTGTCTTGATTGGCTATTTCCGCTGGCATCTTGTTCGATGTAATTGACCTTGCTTGGCCCTTTAGCCCGCCCTGCCGGGTTGACCGGGGAGCTGACCGAAGAGAGAAGGTTGCCATAGGTTCATTCAGGCAAGAAAACGTAAGGGGCAATTCCAAGTAAGAACCTTCATTGAGAAAATTGATCAATATGGGGGTTCCTGACAACAGGACGAGGGAAGAACATATTCGAACTGAAAGGTCCTTAATTTCAGTAGTTGCGTCAAGCTGCAGCATAAGCGCCAACCTGATCTAAGGAAAGAGGGCGGGAGACATGGCCCAACCTAGTTCGAGCTTGCTTCTCTTTTTTCGAGACTCCCTTCCTGAAAGAAAGGCAACCATTTAAACTCGACCTACTTTGACTTTGGTCAGTACATAGGAAGATAAGGAAGCGAAAGCTCACTCTGCCAAGCCAGAATGATAATGGATAGTCATTGTGACCCCGGGGCTTGGTGTCAAATGTGATGCTGTACCTGGTCGTTTAAATCAGACCTCTATTTCAGTACAAACTCTTTAGAGCCAACTGTTTGCCTCGAGGGACAAAAAGGCAGCCGGCCAGGTTTCCTCGTTCCGCCGAGCCAATCAACCCCTTTTATATGACTGAACTTCGCCTCAATTACATCGATCCTCTCCCTTTAGAAAGAAAAAACCAGCAGTCAAGACTAGTCACATTAGTGAAACAATAAAAGCAAGCTTGGGTTTTAAGCAAGCAAAGACAAGTGGTAGCTAAGCGCGGTGATGAAGAATATTGTTTTTAGACCAAACAAACATCTCAATTACACCTTTCTTTCATTAGAAACCTCTTCCGTAAGAATCTCTATCTCTACGAGTTCTCTTTCTTTGACGACGGGGATATGTCCATCAAATCCCTGCTCGTATCTTAAGGCAGTTCGTCTGACTATTCTTTTTCTCATTAAAGCTTCTTTGTCCCTCAAAAGCAGGCGCGTACCAAGCCATTCTACTTCCACTTCCCGCGGCCCATGAAGTGAGCTTTGCGATGAAGCAGTTGAGACTGCAGCAACCAGATTGTCAGTTGTAATAGCAGAGCGTTGAGAGTCAATTACTACTTATGACTTCACTTCGCTTCACCAGGCGCGGAAGCTGAATGAATAAGATAGGTGTGGCGTGCTTTCCTTCCCGCAGCTTTTTGTCTTCGTAGATAGCACCTGAAAGAGTTAGCGAGCACAGCGATATAATAGAACTGCGTTAATAAGGGAATCACCTTATCTAGCCCTGCCGACTATGTTGATTAAGGCAAAGAAAAGGAAGCAGTAGCATTAGAAGGAGCAAGGGGAACGAGACAGATATTGAATTGCTCGTTGAGACCTTTATGCCGACATGAATTTGGCTGGTAGCTGTGCCAAGTAAGAAGCTGTTCTTGTTCTCGAAGTCCTACCTTGTTATGCTATGCCCTGAGGCATTTATTTAGCAAGGCTACGCACCTTCCCGCATTCCTTACCTCTGTGTCCGATTCGCCGATCATAATCCACTCTTTCTTTCTCCTGTCCTCCCAAAAGGAATCTACACTCTATCGATGTCCTCAACAACACCTTTGGGCAAACAAGTAGATAGCATAGTGTAAGTAGGAATGGAAGCTCTCCAAATTAGCCTCAGGGCAGTCTCGCATAGCATCATCGTGCTTTCCTCTGGACCTTTCCCTCGCCCTTTCTCGTCCTCTGATAAAGCAGCTCACTCTTTACTACTTTTGACTTCACTGCGCTTCGCTTCTAAAGTACACTTCGCTTCGCTTCGTTTGTATGGTCGAGACTCACTTCGTTCTCCTCACAACAAAGGTTAGATGCGGAATTACAAAAGTAATGAGGGAAAGTACCAATCCAGATATGAAATTGAGCACAGCTCAATGCGCACTTCCTTCCTGGCTTATTGAATTGAATACTGAAAAGCACAGGAATTACTTAGAAATTCAAGGCTTTCCCTCTCGGATTTAGCGCACACTGACTTCCTGATAGTGAGATTCCTCTAGTCAAGTCTAAGGAATGAGATGAGGGATCAAATGGGAGTCTATGCCACCCCGGCTTCACACTAACCGTACTTCCGGCAAACAGAACTCGTTCTCGAGGAAGATTGGAAAAAAGCGGCAGGGTCGACAAAGTTGAGATTCACTTTTCTATCTCATTCCTTAGCGATCTCACCTTATCCTTTACTTACTGAAGTAGCATCGAGAAATTCTCTTCCCCCCGGGCGCTAACTCTTACTTCAATTAATTCCATCATAGCCCTTGAATCTTTCAGCAACTTGTTGGGCCTAGCTAGATTACCAAATCCCTATTTCCCGAACTGCTTGAAGCCCGGAGGTGACTTCGCTACACTAAGGCTCGATGTAATTGAGGTTCAGCCAGCCCAACAAATAGGCTTTTTCTTGCTTGAAGAAGGTTTCACTAGAAGAGCAGATTCGTTCACGTCGGACTCTCACCCGTTGGTCTCTCTTGGCAGAGGAATGGAACGGAGAGGTTCGATGTAATTGACGAAGCGCAGTGAAGTCAGAAGTAGTAAAGAAGGAACCAAGCAAACGATCGAAGGAGTGCGCTAGCGCCAAAGAATGCGGAATGGCTCGATGTAATTGACCTCTACCTCAAAACTCTTCATGCGTACTTGACTAAAAAGCTTTCTTCCTTTGAGGGAGATTGAGCTATTCACTCAGCTAGGGATAAGTTATAGGGACCCAAGGCTAGGAGATTGACTCTAAACTTGGGGAACTCAATTACATCGAACCTTGATTTTCGGGAATCACTCACCCGGCATTCTACTTTAACATGTATTGACTCCTTTTCTTACACAGCTGATCTTGTACTTGCCATGAGTGTTGACCCATCTTCTTTCATGCCTTTGAGCACAGCAATAGGAACGGTACGAACGAAGCGAAGTGAAGTCATAGACAATAGAAAGAGCTACAAAAGGTGTACCGGATATCTTATTCCATATAGTAGGCTAAAATAGGGCTTTGACGGACATAGGTATAAAAAAACTGTCCAAGCTAAAGCTTGCCTGGTCTTACAGAGACGGATAGGGAGAAGTCAAAATCCAACTCTACGATGAAAGCAAGCTTCCTTTATACTGGGAGGGTACAAACTTTTCGAAGCGAAGTGAAGGAAAGGTCTGATCAATTCGACTTTTTTTATCTCATATAGCTGTAAAATCTATAAATACGATTTCTGCCCAGAGACCAGATGTTCAATTGCAAAAGTTGCATCTCATATAGCTGCAAAATGAAGCAACTGGAAGATATGAATATAGGCATAGGTAAAGGCTCGATGCAATTGACCTTTGGTCTTCGTATCCTCTAGTTCCTTTTGGTTTCCACGCCAAATCGCACAAGCACAAGGGAGAACGCGACAATCGATAAGGTCTAAAAAAGGAAGTCACTATAGGCATGTTTCTGGCTTATCTAGTCTCACTGGATACTTTGATCTCTTCTATGGAGCCGGATGTGAGCTTCGCGCCTACTGATCCAAGAGTCAATGGCAGCGGACACATCAATAGCAGCAGACGCAGAGAAAGAAAGACTTGCTCTTCGGGCTAAGATGCTGACTTTGCCGTGGAAAGAGTAGTGAGAGGGTAAATCCTCCCCATCCAGTCTTTTCAGGGAGTATTCGTAATTGGACTATTTACATTCTTCTCTCTCCCACTCTTAAATAGCGAGGTAGCTACTTGGAATCTTTGATTGCCTCGTATTAGGCTAGCTCGCACTTCGATGCGATCTTCGGTCTGCCTGGCGTCTGCGGTTGCAGCTCCCCCACCTAATCAGTGCTAAAACCCCAGCTCACAAGCTCGCTGCGATTGTAGCCCCACATCCTACTTTCAGTAGAATCCGAAGCTCGCAATCCCAAGGAGGGTGTAGCTCCGAACTCGACCAGTCTTTCAAACCCTAGTCATCCTCTTTATCGGCTCAGCTCGTATCGACGCTTCGAATCCTCTATGACTGAACTTCGCTTTGCTTCGTTTGTTGGGTCTTTAACAAATTCGTAAGAGGAAAACGACTGTTTTTTTTCCATTGGAAATGGGACCAGGCGTAGTCGAGCCGTATAATTTAATAGGTCAAGGCTTTCTATTCTGGCCCGAGAACTCGATTGAAAGCTCCTCGTCGGTGAAAGAAATTGGATTTGCCCTTCGCCCGAGGCCTAGCAAGAGGAAAGGCACCTGTGAAAGTTACATGCGCAGTCTTATCCAATTTGAAAAAACTTGACGGCTTGGCAGTGAAGCGTGAGTCGTCACTTCTGACCACGATCCTGCCCTTAGCTTGTTGGCTAGCTATTTCCTTTCTTCTGGCCATAAGCGTTGCGATCCCGATCGAGTGGACCCCATCTCGCTTCGTTTACTTTTCTCGTTCGAGACCAACGTCTTGTCCTTTCTATGAACATTCATTCCATTCTTTCCTCCTCGGGCCCGAGGAGGTTATCGGACAAATTGAGTTGTCGGACACTTTGGAACATTCATGCCAAGAAGGATACTTTGTGGTTTGGTTTCTCGAGAAGAGAGCTCTCTAATCAGTTTGGACACTTAGTTTAGGCAACTTCTGCAAAGACTTGACTCGTCATGAACTTCGCTTCTTTCTATGACTTCACTTC